CTGAGTGACCTCTGTCTGCCCTTGTCCGCTTTCCCCTCAAGGGGAGTTGGCTTCTTATCGGCTGGGGGCTGCTTACTCTCTAGGAATGGGAAAAGTTTTGTAACGCCGTGTCATTTTCACGCATGCAGAGATTCGTGACTAATTTTGATGTACTCATTATCATCTGGTTCTTTGGCAATCTATTGAGGGGCCGGAAAAAGAGGAAAAATATAGAGGAACAATCGACAGCGGTAGAATTCCGTACCGCAGCAGGTCACCGGTATCACCGGCGATGAATCGGTATCCGGGAGGCCCCGTTCGAATACAGTTGGACGCCACTGTGGTCACAGAAATGCATGGCACTCTGGACTAGGGGTAAAAGTATGTTCGACACTTTTTGAAGGATGTGATTTATCATCGCGCACTAACGGTATTGATGAGAAAGAGGCTAAGGATTCTAGCGCAGAAGCGCCAATGCGAGCTACGTTGCGCTTAATTCCACACTGCCTTTTTTGGAACCAGAATACACCTCATTTTGGATTCATGATATTTTAAAAGAGCTTCCACATGTGACTGCCCAACCATTTTTTTAACACTTCAAAACTCTCAGAGATCGTTATGACACCTAGGCCAAGTAAAGAACCCACTCTATGCCTAGTAGCATAAAATAGGTATTTTTTAAATTCAAACCGATTTTAGATTCGAAAAGACCAAATCATGTTACCAATTCGGCACACCGCAAAAAGCAACAGTACAAAAATATCGTACTGGGGTGTTCCTCGATTTTGGTCCATCCTAAAAATTATTTCATTCCTGTTTTTAACATACTTACATAAGATGTGCTCTATATGTTACCCACAACCTACTGTCACCGACACATTTAGGAAGTGCAGAAATAAAGGTATCAGTGTGACCTTGGCTTAAGCTCTCCTTAGATATCTCGAAGAGTTGCTTGATTTTGCTCAGGCATTTGATTAAGTTTGGCTAGATGGACTATTATTTATTAACTTAACGAGGTATGCTGTCTTTAACTATTTAAAATAAAAATAAAAGCAATAGATTCGTTAACTATTTAGAGACTTAAAGTCAATGGGTCCAAATATATAAAACTAAGATTTACTAGAAAAAATTCGCATTTTCTACATTTTCTATAATTGGTAATACGATACCATAGAAAGAATTCGTTACTTACTTGACAGTTACATTGTATTACTATTACGGTAATTTGTACTCGTAGTAATTATAAGAATTAGTTTTGACATTTTTAAATTATGGTTAGTTTCCAAAGAGAAAAATTTAAAAAATATATAAATGAATTTTTGGTATTATGAGTTTTTTAAGCTATTTGCTTTTAAGTTGTTTTAAGCACGTTGATACCCGTAAGATTGGATAACCTCATCCCTCGATTATATTATACAACACTTTTATTTAGTGCTTTGAATATCAACCAAGAAATTTTCTTTCGAATCACCCTGCAATCCAATGCTTCATAATTAGCAATGCTGAAAAAATATCGATAGTATATCTCACATTTTTGCTGCAATATTATTTGGCTGTTTAAGGCTAACAATGCTACAAAAGCGAAAGTGAGGAAACGGAAGTGATATGCAGCAGCTAGCAGCAAACTTCACCTTTTTTTAGCCAAGTCAAAAACCAATAGCGCCATAAAATAGACTTTTGAAATGTATTTTTGACTTTGAAAGTCATTTCCGGCTTTTAATAAGAGAATTTGGTTCAAAAATATAGAACAATGGGAACTAAGGCTTCAGCAGTGTCGTGCTTGCATTTTGCTTTGTTTTTAGCTCTAAAATATGTAAAAATTCGAGATCATACGAAGTTCATTTTGTGTAATACCATGCATAGCATTTTATTACATAAGCTTGAGTACACAGGTAATACACTCTTCTTTTCTATTGAAGAGATGTGATCCAAAGGATTATCTTGTCTTTGAGGCCACCTCTAGGGCACCGATGTCCAGAGGTGTATGGTGTATAGAGGGAATACTTATCAAGCCTGCTGAATGGCAGTGAAAATGCAACACCCGGATATGGTGAGCCCGAAAGCCCAATCGATGATAGTTTTTTTAATTACAATTTTTAAGACACCATCGGCAGCACAATAAGAAGCTGCCTGATCATCGCTATATTCCTTATCATTCCGGTCCTACTATATGGTGCGAAAGCATGGAGGATATCGACATTCGATGCAACAGTGCTGTAGTCTTGTGAAGAAAAGTTGCGCGAAGGGTTTATGTTCCTTTGCAGGTATTCACAACGGCGAAGACCGCAGATGATGGAATAATCAGCTGTACAAGTTATACGGTGACATTGATATAGTTCAGCGAATGAAGAAACAGTGCCTAAGCTGGTCGGGTCATTTCATAGCCCTCCAGTTTTGAAAGATTTCAATGCAGTACCTGCCGGTGGGAGAGTAAGGCCTCCGCTCCATTGAAAGGATCAGCTGGAGAGCGACCTGGTTTCACTTTGTACTTCCAACTGGCGCCAAACATTAAAGAGAAGGACCGAGAGGCGCGCTATTGTTGATTCGGCTATAATCGCGCTCCCAAACCAAAGAATAAAAAGTGTTTCAAAGAGCAAGTCGTAGGGTTTTACTTTTCACAGCGATAAATGTTATCGTCAAAATCCCGTCATTGGACTTGCTGGGCTATCAGACACCTTCATCTAAAGGGAGTAATTAATGTTTTAGACAGTCTATCTTACCGATAGAGAACGCATTGTATGTGTGTATATATTATATGTGTACATACGTGTATGCATATTGATTCTCATCGCGCTCTGTAGCGCAAAGGCAAACTTGGCTAAAATGGTCGGAGGAGGTTCCGCGAAACTTACTCTCTTACATGGAAAATATCTTAAAGGTAGTAGAAGTCCTGTGACAGACCAACTACTGGCTCATCGGAGGACAGGAAGGTTGAAAGTTCCTTTGAAAAGAAGATTTCAGAATGTGTATAAAGGAACAAACTATTTTTCATCTTCTATGTAACTAACATATTTGAGGCAGACCTAAACTCCGATATCTATCATCTACTGTTATTTATGATTTATGTCAGGTAGCAGACATCAAGCTAAAGTTAGTAAAACTGACAAGAGACTTGAAGCGGATGGACACTGACTTTATACCAAAATCTCAAGATGCTTGTTTTTTATCACAGCACTTTATACGACTTTGATGAGGCCAATAGCAGAATAAAGGATATGGCGCCCTAATTAACAAGTCCAGTCCCGCAAAGAGTATGTTTAAAAAAAAAACATTTTTTTTCTTTTATATATATATATATAGATTTTCGGCCGAGCTCCTCCTCCAATTTGTGGTATGCGTCTTGATGATCCTGACGGAGCTTTTAGTATTGCTTAACGTCAGTGTAGTATAAGCTTCGCGGGGATACCAAATTCAGACATAGCAGCGTAAAGGCAGCTCCGCTGTCGAAGGCTGCTTTAAAATCGACGAAGAGGTGGTGGGTATCGATCCTCTTTTCACGGGTATTTTCCAATATCTGGCGCAAGGTGAATATCTGGTCAATGGTTGACTTCGCAAGTCCGAAGCCACACTGATAAGGTCCAATCAGTTTGTTGACGGTGGGCTTTAGTCTTTCACACAATACGCTTAACAGGATCTTATAGACGATACTACGAAGGTTTATCCGTTTTTGTGGATTTGGCAGAGCATACTTAGGTTCGAATCGTCGGGCATACTCTCATCCGACCCTATTTTGCAAAGAAGCTGATACATGCACCTGATCAGTTCATCACTACCATGTTTAGCTCTGTCGGTAGGTCGTCAGCTTCAGCCACTATGTTGTTCTTTAAGTGGGTAATCGCTATTCGAACCTCGACGTAGTCGGGTAATGGAACGCCTTTTTCATCGCCATCGACTGGGGTTTTGGGTTCATCAACTTCGGGTGTTTCATTTTCACTGCCATTCAGCAGGATGGCAAAATGTTTCCTACATAAATTCAATGTACTCTGGGCATCCGTCACTAGCTCGTACCTCTGGGTTCTACAAGAGTTTGCTCCGGCTTAAGGCAGTATGGCATGTAGTAGGCAGTATGTTTTCCCTGCACTGTAGCCGACATTACTCATCGTATCAGTTTTATTTCTGACATTGCCGAGAAACCTTTTCGTCGTCGAACTTTGACGCGGGTTCCTTGAGGCGGGTGCGCATCTTCACTGCAACAAGGACCTCGCAACATACTCTGTCTTTCGCCTATCAAAACATTGTCGATCTGGTTTTGTGCGGCCAATTTTCTTGGGCTGAAATCTAGTACTACAGGCAACCATATCAGCCTCAACCCATTTAGGGATGTTTCATTGTGGAGACTGATTTCTCCGACGGTTAAACCGAAGATACTCTAGCGTTGAGGTGATCAAGCCCAATTTTAACACCGTGGCGGGGACAGCGTTTATAAGTATGTTCTTCTCTTCCGTCGGCGCATGGGCGCAAATCAGCTTTGTGTTCGGTTGGTTTAAATGCGGATTGTGCTGAGACGCTCATCCACCGGAGGGAATGCCAGTACTCGGCGACGGAGCCTCTCTCCCAAAATCGCGCCACTTTATTTAGCCGCTGTAGCGTATTTATAAGGGCCCATCTTCTTCCGGCCTTGTGTCGTTCATTGCTTTTCTTGAAGGGCAGTGATGTGACTTTATAAGGACATCAATCATGTTCAGCTGCATGGAACCTTCCCAATCAAGAGACCGGCTAAACCAGGTGCATGCCCTAAATTCTTAGAGCATTTTCTGGGGTCGTCAACAAAAGGCATATTTTGGTATTTCATTGGATTTTGTTTCTCATGTGGTGGGTCCCAAACCCTGCGCACAGGCACTTGGAATTCACCCTCTCACTTTAGCTCACCTCCAAATGGATGTTTGTTGGCTACCCATGGCGTCGTTGGTCTAAGACCGGAAGTCGTGAGCTGCTTGAAGTCAAAAATTTTCCTCACTTGCTTGAACTTCTACACTAGTCCCATCCCCAACCCAAATTAGCCTAAACACCGACCAAGGTGATTCAAATTGACAATTTCATTTTATTATGCATTGCGTATACGTAGAGTAACCAACTTTAGGGTGTCCCAAATTTAACGCAAGATTTTAATTACATTGCAAGAATAACTTTTAGTCTTCAGATTGTGATTTTTCATTGAATCAAAAATACATAAGAATCATTAAATACAAACATGTAGATGCATATATCGGCCTGCACATGCATTTACTAAAATTAGTTTTTAAATTATTGTCGTTTTCACAACAAGTTGAGCCGTTATCATGGACGACATTTTACTCTTAATACTGAAACGATTCAAATAACTTATTCAACATCGCTATCTTCCCAACATTCTGTCAATAAAGGTAATCCAATTAGATTTTGAATACAAATGTGTTAAGCGAAAACTCACTCGTCGTTGGCTCCCAACCGATTTCAACGCCATCAATGCGATTTTGCTCTACCAACCAATCATACAAAGGTTGAAAATAGGCCAATAAACCATCCATACTTATTGCCCTTTCGTTTGTCATTATTTCGAGAATATCTTTATAGCTCTTCGATGAACCCAAGGACATGGCTTGCCTAGTTAAAATTTGGAAAAATATATAGATATATACTCGTATATATATATGTATGTACATTAAGAACAGAAAGCTTCCGGAAATTGCTTTTTTTAATATTCGCGGTTTGGTTCATCACGAATTCGTTTCAACGGAAGAGACGGCGTTTTGAGGTGTTTGCGAGAAAACATCCGTCGTTAATGATCGGAATTGAGGGCCAACAATTTCCGGAAAGTTCCATGACGATAATGCGTCAGTACACCGAGCATTTTTTATGAACGATTTTAAGGCCAAAAACTCGTTCAATGCCATGGAACAACCACCATATTCACCGGGTTTGGCCCCTCGCGCCTTTTTTTGTTTCCAAATTTCAAGTTACCACTCTGTGGAACCCCTTTCGACTCGTAGAGGCTGCTGAGTTCGACTGATTTCAACAGCTGCTGCAAACAAACTGGTTAACAAATCGCGCTCATTTTCGGCATGGTAATTGAGGACAGTGCTGCCAACTTAAAAAAAAATTGTCTGAAAAATATTCATCGCGGGCAGTTTAAATAACAATTTCCGGAAACTTTCTGGTCTTAATGTAATAACAATATCTTTATTATGAGCCAGTACTCACATCACCAACGGTCCAATTTTACGTTGGTTTGATAGATCACATAAATCGAGTGGATAATTCGGATCATTCGGTTTATATTGGCCTGTGATATGACAAAAGTGCTTGTAGAATTGATATTGCAGTACAGTGCTCATTATTTGGCTGAATTAAATGGAGAACTTATTGAAATATAATTCGATGTTTTATTTTCATTTTTAAAGTAAAATAAGTTTTTTTTATTGTTTCTTTAACCCACCTTGTATACTGATCATCTACTTCTACCAACAACTTGGCTGGCGCATCGAAATCCCCATTGCTTCTATTCACCGGAGGTTCAGCGCCCGTAAAATCTGTCGTCAACTGCCAATAATCACAATTATCGTTAATATTTAAATCACCATCAAGCACATCCACCCGATACCGATCGAGCACATAAAAGACCGGTAGTAGAAATATTGTACGAAGACCCTGCCAACCGAAAAATGTTGTAAATATTTCAAAACTTTCTATGCCAAATAAAATTTCTCTTTACCTGCCAATACAGTCGATTTATTCTCTGTTCGTTAGATGTCACACCACGTTCCAATATTTTTAGCTTTTCCAGATAGCGTGGCGAGGAAGCTGCCATGGAGAACATCTTTCCCAGCGCGTCGCTGAAGTTTGGAAATGGCTCTTCTGCAAAAAGTGTTGGCTGCTTCTCATAAGCACGATAATAATAGACATCGGTTAAAGCCTCGTACATATTAAAGAAGCGATCCTCATCTACTATAGGACAATAAGAGAAATTCACACGTTCTATGCCATAAAACTTCCAAGCCTTATGCCAACAACGCATATCCTCTTCTTCCAAATCCGCTTTAGGACGCGCATGCTGTGTCCAAAATGTGCTAAAAAAAAAATATTTGTGAAATTATTCAACAACAATGTAAACGTATTTTACACAACTTACTCTTCAATCTGTGGCATACCAAGTGAGCGGAAGTAGTCTGCGACATTCCAGAAAACACGTTGTGCATTGGTCAGACCACGTCGAAGAAGGCCAGCAGTTATATTTGGCATACCGATCGCCGGGTAAGGAAACTCTATAAACCATTCTGGATCCGGCCGACGATAGGCATTGCCTATGAAAATCTCAGCGAGGTTTTGCGGAAATGGCTTACCACGCGGTATTAACTCCTCCCCATACATTTTACGCTGCTGCCCGCGTACGTGAGCATGAAATTGCTGGTACAGTGGCTGTAGACGTTGCATAAAGCTCTTTATTAAGGTCGCAGCTTGTACGCTATCCTCCTCAAGATCTTTGTACCAAAATTCGGAAGGTTTTGTAAAGCCTGTGGATAATACGATTATATGATAAATACGTGTGTGCATGTCTTTTACACTGTCATTAGCTAAGCTTACCATTCAATTGCGCCGCCTTGCGGTATAAATCAACAAACGTTACGAAATCTTGTTTCGCTGCCATGCCCGTCTTACGTCGCCATTCCAACCAATAATACTCAATCTCTGCGACATCATTGCTATTATGTAATATATTCTGCACTGCTGGTATCAGAGTCAAATTACATTGTCTCCTATCGTGATAAGCACAAAGCTTTGTCTTCTTATAAATATCACCCATATTGGTGGTGACAATATACATCAATTTGAGATCCGTGGATGACAAAGCTTCGTAACCTGTTTCGGGTATTTGGGCCAGTTCGCGTTGCTGCTCCGAATCACCTATCTTAAGACGTTTGTATTTTGAAGTTTGCGCCGAAATACTTTGCAAGTAATTCATTATCTCCTCACTAACAAGCTCGGACTGTAATAAAGCGTATAGATCGTTAGGTCCTTTTATTTCCAATTGCCAGTTGGCCAACACCTCACGATTATAGAGTGCGGCTAAATTTTGGTTGACATTTGCGAGAAATTTCATGAGAATCGCAGTAGAGTTCTCCGCAGAGTGAGTGGCGTGTGCATGCCATTGGAGCTGTGAGTAATTTTGCTTTGATATTGTAGAAAATTAAAAAAAATTCAGTTAATAACTACTTACCAGGAGAGTGAAGACAAGCAACGACTTCATATTTTTGCCAATAAAATTTTTCAAAATCAGAAGTGGTATATTATACAGTTAGTTTCCACTTAATTTTCAACCTGCGACATGTCTTAAAGTTTTCGTGGAAACAGTTTGCGAATTTCTGAGTAGTAAAGAGCAATCTGAAATTAATTGCAAAAAAGATTTTGAATATATTCAGTGTCCAATGGAGCCAAAGTGAGTGGTGATTGAACCGTATATACTAAACTCCCATTACTGCTCTATGGGGCTGTTTAAGCACTTTTGAGACCACAACTTTATTCTTTAGCTGACTCTCACATGCTTGAGATTTGTAGGTGGTTATGGTTGACTAACAACTAATCAGCAAAAAAAAATGTACGACACCATTTTGCCCATTACCTAGGAATGACCGACTGGGAGACTATGAGGAAAGTTTCTCTTTCTTGCAACTTGAAGTAACAAGAATTTAAAAAATATTGCAATTGCTTCTCAGCCTAAATGCAGATTATATAACGAGTTAACCGTTGTCACTGCATTTCGGCCGAGCTTCTCCTTCAATTTACTCGTATAGTATGCGACTTGAGGTTTTCGAACAAATAGTGGGACGTACAGTATATCCTAAGTCACCTCAGAAAGGCCGCTGGTCTTGACATTCCCTGCCGAGGGGCGACCGCAATTAGAAAATTTAATTTTCTATAATTTTGGATGTTAATCGAACCAGGACTAGAACCCTGGTATTCACAACGGCACTGCACAATGTTAACCACTTGTCTATTGCACCCGGTTGACGCTAGCAAATAAAGTTTTTAGAGGGATATCAGCTTTGCAAAAGAAATGTTTTAGAGCAATATCGGATCCGAAATATTAAATTTTAGGGCCACAGAGAGGATGGACTAATACTACCAAACATGACTGAATGAAAGAAATTTGGAGAACATTGCTTCTGTTCAGAATTGGCTCGGATGGTCACTTCTTGGAGTCTCACCTCGAAGACACCGTCTCTGTGGCCACTCTGGGGATACGTAAATAAGCAAAACTAACCAATTAGAGGCTCCAAAAATACTTAAATACTTGAAGAGAGGTAATTACACCCAAAACAAACATACTGTCTGGTGCGTTCTTTGGTCCGGAGGTGTAATTGGACCTTACCTCTTTGAAAATGTCGGCGATATTGTCAACTGTCATATGGTCATATGATAACAGTTTTTTTTTTTTGCCTGCATTTGAAGAACATGATGTGGCTTCAAAAAGATGATGCCAAACACCACGAGTGTATATAGCTTCATGGCTAGAGAAATTTCTCGCCTTGGCGAAGTCAATTGGCCACCGAGATCGTACGATATGACAACGTTTCACTTTTTTTTGTACTACACGAAAGACTACTATATTCATATGAATAAAAAGTCAACTCTTGAGCACTTGAAAACCAACATTCGTCTAATTAAAGCTGAGATACTGGCCAAGATGTGCCTTAAAGTGTAAGTGTAGTAAAGTTCTAGTAATTGGCCCCTGGATTCAATTAACCATTAACCTGAATAAAATGTTGAACTATTTTTATTCAGATTAAATGTTAAATTTGCGCCACTGAAATCGATATACGAATTGAAAATACACAACTCCATAAAAAATCATATTTTTTTGCCAGTGTAGTGCCTTATGGAATCCAAATGCTTGCCTTACGTTGCATTGCAATTCAGTTCGCTACCAACAAGCGCGCACGTAATTATGATTCACGGCATAAAATAAGAAATATGGTATTTATACGTTTTAAGCGTTTGAAAACCACTTTTCACTATTAACAAGACAACAGCAAAAAAGTGCTATTTAACCGCAATAATATTTATTTTAACGTCACTTCGTGTTTATGTTTATTTTAATTGGTTATAATCCACACTCTAAACTTTCAATTGTTTCTTCTCTTTTATATAATAAAACACTTGAAGAGGCCAATAACCCAAACTACTCACAATGCATATAACTTCCACTAAATGAATGTCCGGTCTTGGACGCTTCCAATTGGCAACTAACCAATCGAGATGTGCCGGCATTAAGTTGACCATAGTGATTAGCCTTTTCGGTAATTGTTTGAGTGTTTACGCACATTTCATTGCAATAATTCATCCGTGACTTCGCTGAATATTAACGTAAATAAGTTTCAGCTGCGGCTAAGCATTGAGCGCGAAAAAGTAGCTTTTCACGTGCAGCTGTGAAGTGGTATACTGAGTTAGGAGAGATCAATAGTTGTAGTTGTATTAATGGCCTACATTTGGTTTGAGTGGAAAAGAAACACGGATGATTTGCGTAGAATAAATATTATTGTTAACGTGTAAAAAACTTCCTCTGCTATATTATTTTTTTCTAAGCCACCTCCGAACGGCCGATGGATTTTTATGAAGAGCTTTTATTTAATGTATTTAATAAATACATTCGGAAGGCTTGACATTCCCTGCCTAGGGGCGATCGCTATAAGAAAAAATAACTCTCTATGATCTTGGATGTTGGTCGAAGCAGGACTCGACCCTGGACTTCCAAAATGGCTATACACAATGTTAACCACTCGGCTATTGCGAACACGAAAATCATGTTCATCTAAATAATCCCATAATCAATCCACCGGATGAACAGCCCATATAGGGAAAATCAATGACATAATCAAAAAACAGACCCGTGACCGGAAACCAGTGACAGTTCGGACGGCTCTGAGCCCGAGACCGAACGGAGAAGGTCCCGGTTACACTTGCCTCTTACACTAAACAGCTACAGATGTCCTCGCCAGCTAATATAAATTACATAGAAAAAGGAGGCGGAAATTAGTTAATTATTTAAAGCTCTTAGTAAGAAAGCTTTGATTCAGAAAACCGAGTCGGAATGAGTATTAAAATTATAGTCTGCTTAAGATGCTTCAAGAAATATTTTTTTGTCTTCAATCTATTGTAAAACTATTCACGAATATGTCTTTGAAATTTCAGTGGGCAATTTGACATATTTTAGAAGATAGAGCAGTTTTAGTGGCGAAGCGTCGAGTAGGTTTGAATGCTCGGACAGAATTTTGAAGCGCGTTTTCTCGAGATTTCATTTTTACGAGTCTTAGAAAACGGTGCCGGTGATAGAATGAATGCATGTCCGATGAAAAATAATCAAAGTGATTAGGTGCTTAAGATTTAAATTATCTTCCATGTGAACTAAAAAATTTGGACAAAAGTATTATTTAAACAATTTTTTTTTTGCAATTGTAGTGAATTTTTTTTCAAACTTCGAGAAAATTTGGAGTTTTCCGACTTCTTCGGTATTATTTTTGTTAATATAGAAGAGACATTCATAAAAATTAAAAATAATTAGACTCTTTCAGATGCATTGCACAACCCCCACCACCGGCATCGTTTCAGTTGAGACTGCCGCACCTTCAAAAAACTTATCACAATATAAGATAATAGCAATATTTTTTTTTTACTAAAAATTGTTTGAAGCTTAAATATAGTACATTACTGTCTGAATATTTCGTTCACCGCAACAATTTCCTTCCCTTTTCAAAAAAGAAATCGCTGAAAAAGTGCGTTTTTTGCAGGATTTAAAGGAGACTACTGTCTAGATGACCTTAAGGGAACGGTAAGGTTAAGCTAACCAAGCAGGAATGGGCTATTTATAATACCTCTTATAAATTTAGTCAAAAATAAAACTCCAAACATATTTCTACGACTATGGAGTGTAGGCAGATTAATGAGTCGTAAACGACTTTTGTATGAAGGGAGTTTCTTATTCGATTTCAGTGTAAATTTCTTAATGCAAATTGCTTTGGTAAAGATTCCAATTTATCAATATATAACTGAGCCATATTCCAAAATGGGCCTTATAAATGAGGTAAAGAGTAATTTAGTAATCTATGGGTTATTGAGCTCCTTAGCTCAACTTTTAATGAAAGCTAAAGCCGTATTAGCGCAAGAATTTTAATGATTTCTAAAATCTAGTTTTTCTTAATCAGTGTAAGTCAGTAGGTTGTTCAACGTTGTGGTTATGTGTCACATTGGCAAGGGATTGTTTAAACTTAGGGACATCCTAGGTGCGATAATTAAGTAATGAGACTGGTTCCATTAAAACCGTATATTTCAAAATTATTTTACAACTCTGTCATACCCTTCAAAGTAGTCCCATTGGGTAGCTATACACCGATTCCGGCACGTTTTCCAGGTTTCGTAACACTTCTGGTACACTTCGACTGGGATATCCGCGAGTACCATCGTCACGGCCGCCTAGGTATCCTCAATCGACTCAAAAAGGGTTTCTTTGACCACCGATTTTTTTCTAGGGAACACCGAAAAAAATCACAGGGTGACATATCGGGCGAATAAGGCGGTTGTTACAACACGGCGATCCCTTTAGAGCCCAAATACTGGGACACGCTGAGGGCAGTATGGCACGGCGAGTTGTCCTGAGGAAGGAGCCAGTTAAGAGCGATGTCTGTGCACATACTGTTGACTCGTTTTCGCAATCTTTCGAGTACTTGACGATGATAGACTTGATTTACGGTTTGCTCCGGTAAAATAAATTCCTTGTGGGCGACTCCACGGCTATCAAATAAGGCGATAATCATCGTTTCGCCTTCGACTTGCTCATGCGAGCCTTTTTCGGGCGGGGGGCGTGCGGAGAGAACCATTGTGAGCTTTGGCTCTTGGTTTCCGGGTCATATTGAAAAAACCGGCTCTCATCTCCGCAAAATTGTATCGCGACGTGTTGCTCTTGATTTCGTTTTTCCATTTTCGTGACGAGCACCACGAACACACGTTTACTCAACACGACACAGCAGGCGAACTAAGCAAACTACAGCGATGGCAAATGTATCAATGGAGAGGAGAAGGATGCCGGGAGAAGGGGTATTTCAAGGTCGCAAGTTTACTATAATCGCGGCAATATAATCAGTCTCAGTACTTAATGGTCACACCTCGTACAGTTCACATCACATCCCCTAACTAAGTTATTTAGGACAAGTTGCAAAAGTTTTCTATCTTAAATAGAACGAACTGATTTAAAGAGCTGGACATTATTTGCGTACATGAGTGGCTTAGAATAAAGAAAACATTTGGAGGGTCAGTATTGAGTATAAGTATGAGTTATGGACCGAGATAACTGCCCTTGGAAACACTAGATGTTACTTTTTGCTTTCTACCACTTGAGAAAGAAAGGTGGATACCCGAAATAATTAAGTTTAAAGGGAAGTAATGTTTTGGTGAGGTCAGTGTATGTGTATGATGGGGATGATGAATTCCAGCATGTTCGATATGGTAGTTTCGCCTTTACAAAATTGTTGTGAGATGTCAATATTTAATGCCCCAGTATCTTTTAATTGGGCTGATATAATAGCTTCGAATAGCTTTGTAAACCCCCTTCTGGACATTTATGTATTGTAGATGAAAAATTTGTGGCTCTTTCCCCAAGGAAGGGAATAGATTTTGCTTTAATATCTTCGATAAGGGTATATATATAGAAATTTAACACAAAACTTTAAAAAAAATAGTTGGATTGGATCGCATTTAAGGGCATTAAAATCGTGATAAAAAATACCAGCGGAAACATATCTGCGATTAAACCACAGGCACTAGAAACTTCATCATAATGGACAACCAAAAGTTTTACGTTTTAGACAGATAGTATTTTTAAAGTGATAAAAGAAAATATATCGAATAATTTTCTCAATTTAAGTATGACGAGAGATTGGATAATGCACTGCCTGTTCAATCTGAGGTGATGAAGACTTGAATGCACTTCTTTGTGTCAATCAATTGTTGATTCGACGACCTGGTAAGTTTTTGTATTTAAATGTCTTTTTACGAGTTATCCTTTTCTATGCGTTGTTGGCAAATCTATGAAGTGGTAAAAAATGCGTGTCGCGGCATCCCGATTTGTAACTCTTTGTCGAATCAGTTCATCCATGAAGACAGCGCTGCTCAGCGGTTGGGCATTCAATTTCGATTTTTTGTTTTGATCTTATGTCGTTACGAGAAGTCTTTGTTGATTTGGCTATTGAATTTGTCCCAGCGAACGCCTTAAAACCTTCAAGCCTAAATTGGCAATAAACAATTTTCTTGTTGTCTGTTCACAGCACTAAACTTTACTTATGCCCACTCCATATTAAGAGCACAAAAACTCCTATCGATTGGCTTAAACTTTGAACGGTGTTTGTTAGGCGTACAACAATGTTTGGAGATGCGCCGAGAACTGGATGACCGGCATGACCACGTTATGACCTTCATTAACAAACTCTTAAACAAAAAACGCAAGTAATTACGAAATAGTTGCTCCAAAAGTACCTCAAGGCGAAATGAAATAAGTTTCATGTCCACGAGCTCAAAAAAACATCGTAAAAGGCTTCAAAGAGCTCTTAAACCTTTTATGCGTAATTTGCCATTTTTATTTTTAATGATCAAAAATATTTGATGAGAACATAATAAATGCCCCAAGGTACTTTTACGTGTTAGAGGATTAACAGATTAGATTAGCTTCGGATTCAGGGTAATATTAGGTTAAGAAAAAACTCGTTCGGTTTTTTTATTGATTTTTCAAAATATGTTAACTTTGTGTACATTTGCCCGATTTAAGTCAAATATGCGCCGTTTTGTTCGTAAATTTGTTGCCAACTAGATGCCAACTTCATTATACCCCTCTTGTAGAAGGACCAATTGGCAAAAAACTCGGAGAGCCAATTTTCACAGGCCTCTCTTGTGGCCAACTTTTCACCATTAAGCACGTTCGCCATGGACAGGAAAAGATGGTAATCACTTGGTGCCAGGTCCGGACTATAAGGTGGATGCATTATGACCCTCCATCCATTGAATAAGTGCTCACGTGACGGTCTGTTTCTACTATTTCCATGTTTTTATCGCCATTTTCGGCGACAGGTCTCCCGACGCGTGGTGCATGTTTGACATCAAAATTACCTGAACAGAACCAAGCAAACCACTTTTGTGCTACACGTTCGTTTACAATATGGGGCCCATAAACGAAATTAATTTTTCAACCGCTTTGGCTGCTTTTTCGCCTTGATCGGATAAAAATTGTAAAACGAATTTGTAACGAATTTTCTCTTTGCTGGTGTGGTCGTAATTTCTTCCAAGATTTGCTGAGGCAACTTAGCAATGAGCTGAATATTAGATGCGTTATTAGCAATTTGCAGGCGTAACTCAGAAAGGGGAATGATGTTCTCGCTATCGAAATCAGATGCTTTTTCAAACAGCTTTTGTAACGAAAATTGAATTGTAGTTGCAGTAAGAGTATCCCAAGAACATTGCATCATGCTTCAGATTGATATATCTTAAACACTCATCTATAATTTTTAAAACAATGTGAGTTAATACCCGATTTATGTAGTTCAGTTTGGTAAGTCTTATAACATTGGCTGTATTATTGCTGTACAATTTGGAGGTGAACACATTATCGATACCCTTTAGCTCGTCGTTTTCGGGATGGCAAGGAGCATTACCAATAAGTATAAGAGTATTTTCTGGAAGACTTTTGGCTACAAAGCATCTCTTTTACCTGTTAAAGACATTTTATTTTGGAACAAATGATTGGCGAAAGCTTTCTTCAAATTAAGTTAATGTAATCCAAGCACTTTTAGTAAATTTGTAGACAACAGGAATATCAGTAAAAAATTTGAATGGAAGTGGATTCACAGATTTTCGAAATACCATCAATTTTACTTACATATATGATTGACAGAAAATCCTGCTTTAATTTGTTTTAAATTATTAACAGCGTAAGCTTTTTCTTTGCCAATTTGGCAACACCCCGAGCAAAAGTTACATCAAAATTGACAACAGTTCAGCTAAGTCGGAACTTTCCCGAACTTTATTGTTGCACTTGTTTTCAATTTCACACATTTCGATGCTTCTTCCAACTCAGAAGATGCGTAAAATATAATGTTATCTTAAGAAAATAAAATATGTTGCAAGTATTGAGGTCCAAATTTTCGAATGCCGCAAGTACTGAGTGCGTAATGAAAAAAAATTTAATGTTGCAGGAATCGATGTATGCAATTGGTGAGTACGTGCAAGAATCGAGTTTCCACTGCAGTTACTGGACGCTCTAAGTTGGAAGGAGCATCTAAAGATAATTCCAAGGGATGATGATAGCCACCTTTGGGCAAAACGAAAGGATCACAGCGACTTATAGAAAATAACGGAACGTCATCCAAAAATATTTCGAACTTATTACGGAGACTATCCCACAGACATCCAGATCAGAAAGATCATTAGGGGATTCATGAATATTATCTCGAGTTGAGCAAAATCGCCAATAGCAACAGTACTCTTTGACGTCTTAGTAAGATCAGTTTAAAAACAAATGAGTACTTTTCCAGAAATTTTATTTAAATAATCATTTCTCATAAGTTTCAAAGTTGCTCCCTAAGATTTTAGACATAAAAACATTTGGCTTATCCAAGTTTCTGAGAAAACCAACATTTCATAATCGCAGTTTGAGCTGTAGGGCTCAGTGGAGGGGATAGACAGTTGCGCAATATTGTTTCAAGTTCTCGAACAAAAGCACCTCGACCTCGACCAAAGTGATGAGTTTAAGAGTAAGTCAAAGCAATCAGCCGAAACATCTATTTAACAGAAAGATAAATTCATATTAATGGACTTGGCAATGCGGACTATATTTAAAACAAAGAAATCGGTTATATTAATCACGGAATACAAAGAAATTGTTCTGAATGTGGATAGAAGAAAGGCCTGTACCGCAACCAAAGAAGGGTAGTCATTATCCTGAGCCCCTGTACTATGCAATCTTTTCAATTTGTCTTCAAAACATAAACGTGGAGACCTCACCAAAAAAAAAAACAGAAGCAAAGTTTCATCTGGAAACTCGACTCCACTTGAATAAAATCATAAAAACAAACAGAATGAAATTATGTATTATATTTTAATACTGACTTTTTATCGAATTAGAATTTTTCAAAATCTTTTAAAGAAAATAAATTTAAATATTCAAACATAATGCCGAATACATGATGATATTATTAGCCTTAACTCGTCAAGGACAGGTCGAGCTTACGAGGACACACATTCTAGAAAGAAAAGAAGATATTAGTCTTACGAATTAATACTTATTACATCATTTCCTCATCCTTACTGTCCGATTTCGTCCAGCCGATATGAACATTATTCTTCTTATTCTCCTCTTCCAGCCAGACGCGAAGCGGTTCAAAATATTCTGCAATAGCTTTGCCGCTCATTGTGCGTTCACCATTAAAGGCCTCCAATGCATCAGGCCAGGGCTTGGAAGCTCCCAAGGAGAGCATGTTTCTGAAATTAATTTTTTTTAGTAAGAACTTGAAAATCCAACTTGAGAAAGCTTACTTGAAAGCTTGACCCGCTTCAAAGCTGCCATAGATGTCGCAGTTGTCCAAAGGCAATTCTGTATTGTTGGGATCATACTGGCCAGCTTTAATGCAAGCGGATTTATAGAATTGAAATTGAATGATAAATGATACCAAATATCTATGAATGAAGGGGGGAATTAATTAGCTTTGGCTGAGTAAGGGGGTGGTACTCTTCAAACTACCTCAAGTACTCGACATCAGCGGACACGTGATATTTAGCTGGTGCATCGAAATCTTTTTCGGAGCGTACTACTGGTGGCTCAATACCGGAGTACTCCTCACGTAACTTCCAGAAAGCGCAATTCCAATCCTTCTTATCAACTTGTCCGCGGAACAAAGCCCAACGATACTTATCCATAGTGAAGGCGAAAGGCAGGAAAACAATTTTATCGAGAGCCTGTAAGACAATAGAAGTCACCAGTAACTCCCAGCCACCGACTTTGTATCACTTACAGCTAAGAACAACTGATTTATGCGAGCTTCATCATCACGATTATAGTTTTTCAGAAGTCCAACACGTTCCAAATGTTTGGGTGTGGACACCGAGAGTGAGAGCACATCACCTACTGCCTCATGGAAACCGGGATTAGCGCCTGTGCGATAAATAAAAGGCAAATGTTGATATTGAAGGAAGTACTGGATGTGACCCAACTCGTGGTGCACTGTGAAAAATTGATCCATCGTCACACGTGTACACTGCTTAATGCGCACATCATCAATCAAATAGAAGTCCCAAGCGCTGGCATGACAAATCAAATCGCGACCATCATCGGGCTTTACCAAGATACTCTTATCCCAGAAGTCTCTGTGGCATGAAAAAAGGAATTATATAAAGCTATATTTAAGAGAGGAAATGTCGATCACTAACTAACTGTGGCAGTTTCGTCAAGTTCATCGATTGGAAGAAATCATCACCGAGTTGGAACATTTTCAATTGTGTGTACCCTTGAGCAACCATCTCTTCTGTGACATCAATTAGCGGCTTATTTGGAAATGGTGAGATAATATCAGCGATAGTCGACCACTGTTGAGCCCACATATTGCCCAACAGGTGCATGGGTATGGGTCCTGTCTCGGACACAACTTCATCGCCATAGAATTGACGCAAGCGATAACGCACATAGCCATGCACCTGCTCGTAAAGCGGACGTATTTCGGCGAAAATATCCTCAAGCTGCTTCTCAATAGTCTCATCCTCATACTCATCCAGCCACAATTCAGCACCGGAGGTAAAATCTACATTCAAGGGAGAAGAAAAGTTTTGAATATAACACAAATGACAATCGCTTAACCTCACTTACTATTCAGCTTGGCTGCTTTTGTATTCAGTTCCACGTATTTTTCGTAAGCATCACGTACCGCGGTACCTGCTTTATCATAGAACTCACGCCAGTAGTATTTCAGCTCTTCCGGATCGCGGCTAGTAGTAATGATTTCCTCAATCTCCGGATCTAATGACAAATCACATTTGGTAGCATTCTTGTAGTCGCACACACGCACCCTTGCAAAGTTAGACTCCATAGTGGACATGACTTCCAAGTACTCGGCATATTCCGACTCACTGAGTGCTGCATAGCCGAGTTTCGAGAGCATTTTGAACTGGCGACGCAAGTTGTCCGACTTGAAGGTTTGCCAATTGAACTTACGTATATCGATAGAAACTTCCTTCATAAATTTGGCCACCTCCGCGGAGACCTCATTTTTGCGACGCTCATTTTCATCATTAATATTGGAAGCGTATGCCCAGGAGGCTTCTGTCTCGAGGTTGGTGCGACGAGCGATCTCCTTGTTCAAATTCTCGATATATTCGGTGGCGATAATTTCATCTTTAACAGCGGCCAATGCATTTTGGATCTGGAGGAGAGAAAGGAAGGCTTAGAAAAAAGTACGACGATGGAAAGTTAATAATTGTTGGACTCACCACCAATGTGGCAAAAAGCGCTACGATTACAATTTTCATGTTGAATGTATTCTTTGGAATGTTTCCTTTTTAATCTTCGTGATCTGAAAATTTTTTTTAAAGAGAAAAGTTTAAATTAAGAAAAATGTAAAAAACGGAAATTTGATATCTAAATTTTTTTACATTAATAAAAGAAATGAGTTTTAAATCTTATTAAGTAAAGTGCCTCTAGGCATAAAAAGAAAGAAACTTAACGGTAAACTTAATATAATTACATGCTTAACTCTCTTTAACTCTAAATTTAATGCGTAAAAGTTGAACTGATTGAGAAATTATTTAAATTTTTCTGCTTAAATATAACATTTAGCCTCGTCTCAGACAAACAAAAATACTTATAAGGAAACAAGTACGTACGAGTCCGAAAATACAAATATAATACAGGGTCTTCCAATAAGAGGTGTTACTTTGATATTCATAGAAAAATGTATATCTTGAGATAAATGATCGGATGTTTATTTCAATGTAAAGGGGAATATGCCCTTAACAATGGAAGATAATAACAGCCGAATGGCCGCCAAGGCTAAGCTTCTTTTTATAAAGTTTTACTTCATCAAATCGCAAATTGGGTGCTGTATGCCCTCAACAGCTTCACGAACTCAATCTCTGAGGTATTGAAGCGACGTTGGCCTGTTGGCGTAGACCTTAGCTTTTACGTGACCTCAAAAGAAATTGCAAGTGAATACATCAAAAGATCCCGGTGAACAATTGCGACCACCTATTCGTGAGATAATACCGTCTGAAACTTTTCCCTTAAAAGATCGACAACTTGTTGCTTGTGTGCCATGTAGCGTCGTTTTATTGACAGTAATCTTTTTCCAGTTCAATACCATCCAATTCCAGCCATAAAAAATCATGAATCATCTATCGATAACGCGATCTATTCACCGTAACTGAGGCAGTTTTCGAAAAAATAAGGTCAAATGAACCCGCTATACCATAAACTGGGCCAAACACGTTACACGTTGTGGATAGAGAAGATCTCCAACGTAAGAATCTTGGATTTTCTGAACCCCAGATGCGAAAGTTTCGCTTATTGACGTAGCCATCGAGGTGGAAATGGAGACTTATCAGTTAAGATAATTTCTCGGTGAATTTAGGCATTATTTTCATGAATTTCAAGGACCCAATCTGCAAAGACACGACGTTGTTGATGAACGACTACTTTGCGTTCTTGTGTTAACTAAACTTTATAAGCCTTAAGACTCAAAAGTATTATGCAAAAGGCGGTATAATAACTTTTGTGGAATGTCCAATTGTAAAGAGAGGCACTTTCGGCCACAGCAACAATTTTCACAGCACTAACTTGTTCCAACAGCTCCATTTTTTCCATCAGTTTCTGTATTACGTTCGACAGTATGCTTCACGACGACCGAAAAATGTTTTTGTTTTATGAACCGTCTCTGCCAAGTTTTCACGATTTTTATAGTGAATTTTAACTATTAGATTGTATTGCTTAAGCGTGTGTTGTTTCATTTTTATTGCTGACTTGTCAAATGTCAAAAAATTACCGCTTCAAAGGCGACATCTACCGCAATATCAGACTATTCAAAATAGCCTCCTCTTACTGTAAAACCCTGTATCTACCCATGCTGCTGTAATTTGAACGGTTTCGGCTTATTAATTGGATTTCCTTCAATATTCTCTCAACTAAATGTCGGCATATGAGTGGAATATTAATTTTATCACCAAACAAAAAACACATAAATATGTATGTAAGTTAAACTAAATACCATATATGTATATATATGTATAAATAAAATACAAGCAACCAAAATTTTATAAAACGATAATATTCATCTTTGACAAACAGGGCACGTCAAAATCACGCGAATTAAAATTAAAAACAAAATAACCGCAAAAAATTTATTAATCAGGTTTCTCTTATTAATTCTCATTTAATTCTATTTTTATTTATTTTTTATTTTTTACCATTTTTCAACTGCGTTTGTGCAGTCATCTAATTATATATGGTGTACATGTATGGTATATGGTACATACGTATCTATATGATGAGGTTCAATGACGGTATTAAGCACACGAGTTAATATTTTATTTTCATTTTCAAATAATATACAAAAATTAGGCTTAAATCGGAGAGCAAAATGCATACATACAGACGTGGTAAAAAAACTTTAATAAGTATAATTTCTAAATATAAATATGTCAGAGCTAAATTTCAAAAATTTATATACAACAGATTTTTTTTTTAGTTATAAAGCGATATGAATATTTAATGAGGTGACAAATATGTAAATAAAAAGTGAAATAAAACTAACTTCACATATAAGAAAACGTCTTGCCTTTTATGAGGGGAAAACGGTTAGGCCAAAAAAAACACGTTTTCACTTGGAGAGAGAGACCCAATCAAATTTTATACGGACCGAGTCAGAATGACGAATTGAGTGTTGATTTAGCCCTGCTCCTGTTCGAGTGTCTGTCTAGTCCCTCAGTTTCTAAGAGATTTCAATCGACACAGATTCTTTGGTACATTTAAAAGATCATTTGTCCGACCGGACCACTAAAAACACCTGCAAGCGTGTGATTTGGTATGTCATAAAGCCCCATTCCACCAATTTGTGCAGATATGAGATTGTCACGAAAGAACACAAAAACTTGTGAATTGGTAACCTAGAAACTGATGCCGATGCAGTGAAAGTGCAACATGAGGAGCTGGCGAGCCAGCCATCGGACGATTGAAAAACAATAAAGCGGCGGGGACCGATGAATCGCTGGCCGAGCTATACACATATGGCGGTGAAGAACTAATAAGGCGCATACATCAGTTTCTTTGCCAAATATGTTCAGATAAGAGCATGCACGACGATTGGAATCTAAGTGTGCTCTACCCAATCCACAAAATCCGATCTCACTGTCTGCGCCAATTACTGTGGAATAAGCGAACTTTATTTGTACATAAATATAAGGTACTATCATGCGATCATTGGACTTTATCAGTGTGTGTTTAGAGGTAAATCAACCATTGACCAGTTCTTTACCATGCTCCAAAGAACCGTGAAGAGATGATCGACAGACATTACCTCTTCGTCGATTTTACAGCAGCCTTCGACAGTACGAAAAGGAGCTGCTTCTCCGCCGCTATGTCTGATTTTGGCATCCCCGCAAAACTTATACGGCTGTGTAAACCGGCGCTAAGTACCACCAAGAGTCTCGTCAAGATCAGGAATGCCCTCTCCGATTCGTTCGAGATCTGACGAAGTTTCAGACAAGGTGATTTCCTATCGGTTGACTTCTTTCATTAATTACTGAAGAAGAAAACCCAACTGAATAGAGAAGGCACAACCTTCTATAAGAGTTTATAGCTGCTGATGTATGTTGATAATATTGATATTATTGGTCTCAGCAACCGCGTCGTGAGTTCTGCTTTCTCCAAACTGGATAAAGAAGCGAATGATATAGGGCTGGTAGTGAACGAAGGTTAAACAAACAGTCATCAATGGGCGTCATAACTTTGAAGTCGTAGACAACTTCGTCTATCTTAACACCAACAACAATGCCAGCCTGAAAATCCAACGCAGAATCACTCTTGCCACCAGGTCGCTCCTGTCCCGCTATACGGTGCGAAGGCATGCATGATGACAACATCGAAGTGTGAACATTAGGAGTTTTCGAGGGAAATGTTTTGCGTACGATTAATGCTTCTTTACGATGAAACGATGAAGGTATACAGCGACAATGAAATAGTTTAGGAAATCAAGAAACAGCGTACACGCTTCCCCTGCGGATTAGGTGTTGAAAAATTTACCCACGGTAGGGCAAGAGGCGACTATAGTCGAACAGTTTCCGCGACAGTCCGATCTTTATACACGGAACGTCTGGGATTTTTATCCGGCCATGAACTGTCACTACCGTAACATTCCCCAAAATTACTTTGGGGAATATTTTTGCGGTTACAACAGCAATAACAACAACAGCCGCTACGCTGGCCAGGCCATGTCGAAGGTAAGAACGAAAACGCACCAGCTTTCAACGTTTTTGATGCAGTGCCCTCCACTACGTGACCTGGCTTCACTTGGTATTTCCAATTGGCGCCAAACAGCGAAAAGAAGGAATGAATGGCGCGCTGTTGTTAACTCGGCTATAATCGTGTAAGCGGTGTAAAGGAAGAAGAAGAATGATCATGAAAAGTGTAAAGACTTCCGGATGACCGAAGATAGCTCTTCTTTCCCACAGCCGTTACCGGCTCTTTTTAATGTTTTTTTTTTTTTTAATTAAGTTGATTATTTATTTATTTATTATATTTTGTTAGTTTTTTTTTGTTAAAGTGAGTACCTGCTCAGCCATTTTATGCGCTATTTAAGGTACTCAATGTGAGAGAGTCTCTTGTTCGTTATATATATATTCGTTAAATCGAAAAACTACAGTAATATTGAAAACACAAGCTGACGCACGTTTCGTGTTTTGTATCACTGTAAAACATCTTCAGTTTAGTCTATAATTTAACCATGAATCGTCTTGCAAACGAACAACGCTTTGCAAATAATGAATTTTATTATCAACATGCGTGCTTAATGGGTGCGTAAATAAGCAGAATTGCGGATTTTGGAATGAAGATCAGCCAGAAGCATTGCAAGAGCTACCAATGCACCCAGAAAAAGCCAGAATTTGGTGCTGTTTGACTGTACTTCTTCAAAGATGATGCGAATCGTAATGTAACTGTGAATGGTGAGCGCTACTGTGGGATGATGTCAAACTTTTTTTTGCCCAAAATGCAAGAGCCCGACTTGCATGACATGTGATTTCAACAAGACGGTGCCACTTGCCACACAGCTCGCGTGGACTTATCGAGAGGCGAGTTCGGTGAACATTTTATTTCACGTTCGGGGCCTGTCAATTGACCGCCTAGATAGTGCGATTTAACGCCTTTAGACTATTTTTTTGTGGGGCTATGTTAAATCCAATGTCTATAGAGACTCATACATTCATTGGAGGAAAACATTGAAGTACTTATTCATGAAATACTGGCCGAAATGTTGGAAAGGGTATGACAAAATTGGACTAATTTGAGGCGCAGTCACAGTCAACATTTGCATTAAATAATCTTCAGACGTTGAATTTTACGGACCGTACTATCGATTCAAATAGAAATTTCATGCATTTTTCTGAATTTTATGTGTCTTTTTTTTAAACTTTCCTATAGTCCTTAAAAAATCACCCTTTCTGGAAATTATTCAGTTTTATATTAGTGTTTAGATGTTAATTTATGAACGATTTTTTTTTATAAACTTCACTCGACTACTAAGTAGTTGCTACCGAAATATATTAGTCTATAGAGGGCAATAAAGAAAGTTTGTGCGTATCAACTTGTTATTGATTTTATGGTTGCATTTTAAATATACAATTAAGATAAGAAAGTTCAGAGTTAGTGGTGAGTCGAAGAGTGGATTTAATCCATATTTATATGTATATATATATATGTATATATATGTAGGTACCATATTTCTACGTCTTTCTCTTACTTTCTAGCTATGCTATTGTAATTCATATATAAAAAACAAGAAGAATCACCCTTTAAGTCCATGAATTGCTTAGTTTAAGTTGACCACTTCAAATAGACGTGCATAATCCAATATTGAGTTATTTATGATGGTCAGAGCGTGACAGCGTACAGCGTTATGACTGCGATATCTGCGATTAACGAGTAGTGTTGACAGGTTATAGTAAGTGATCGACGGTTATCAACAACGACTACAAGAGATAACTCCATTAAGCAAAGCACAGTATTCAATTGTCTTTATTTGTAAATATTTATATATGTATAGGAGTATTGAGCTTTAACGATAAGCCACAATTCTGCTATCACTCAATTGTCTGCGGTTTCTAGTATCAGAAACCCACATTCAAAATGAAGATACTTTAAAATGCTAATTTAATTAATTAATTTTGTCTAAGAGTGATTGATTGAATTTAATTGCTTTTATATCTTGTAAATTTTATCAGTGACACTTAGCCATTAGAAGTGCTGTAACTTGCTTTGTTTATTTTACGACTTTTCAAGTAATTGCTCTTAAAAATATACAAGGTTTTCCAATAGGAAGTGGTATTTTCATAGTCAAAGAAACGTTTCCCATAAAACATCGATGGTTTCTTTGCATGTAGCAACGTATTATTGAAAGTAAACGTTGTCCAGATCAATACCATGCAATTCTGGTCATAAGAAATCATTAATCGTCTGTCGGAAGCCCTATCCGCAGTTACGTTGAACATTTGCTACGTTGCCTCGTTGTCGAAAAACTAAAATCCAATGACTCCGCCGAGCCAAAACTGCACCAGAGAGTTACACGTTCAGGGTGTAGAGGCTTTACAACAATATAATCTTGGGTTTTCCGAGCGCCAGATGTCGCAGTTTTGCTTATTGACGTAGCCATCGAGGTGAGAATGGACCTCATCAGTCCAGAGGATTTTTCGAAGAAATTCGTCATTCTTTTCATGCATTTCAGGGACCCCATCGACACGACGTTGTTGATGAACGACCACTTTGAGCTCATGTGTACACTGAGCTTTCTTAGCTTTGATACCCAAGTCTTTATGTAAAATACGGTGTAATGACGTTTAAGGAATTCACAATTCCAAACCAACAACTCAATTTTTTCTACCAAATTTCTGTATATAGTAGTTTTTACTTGTCAAATGTCAAAAAATTACAGCTTCAAAAGTGACATCTACCGGAATAGCAGTTCAAAATAACACCTCTTCTTGGAAAACCCTTTGAAATATGTATATTTACAAAGTCATTAGAGTACTTATTTCAATATCTCATAATGGAGATTTTTATTAATTATCGCACTCGAATGTTTGTTTACACAAAATTTTCAGCTTTTCTCAAATAAAAATGTCTTTTAATTTTTTTTGGTTGTTTAAAAAGACTTGAAGATAAGATGGCCCATTGCCCAGGCGGTCGTAAACTATGCTGCGGCGAAATGCAGGTGAAGAAGCTACAAGCCTGCCAAAACATCGCCCTCAGGACCCGGATAAGAAACCTTCTGATGTCGGCAGAGTATCGCTTGCACAGCGAAGCATCTAAGCTTCGATTTAAGAAACATAATGTTTTGCTGTGCAAGCAATTTCTGCTAGGATGCACCCTAACAGACACTTACTAGAAGCTGAACCATCACCCAGACACAAGAGAAAGGGTATACTTGACCTAAGGAACTGCATTCAACACCATCTACAACAACTGCTGGGAAGAACGGTTTACCGCCAGTCATTAAACACTATTCACCGAGAGTCCATCAACATTTACCTAAACCATCTTCCCGTAAATGAGGCCTTCTCCGAGTCAAACCACCACCTATTGTAGACGGGGAGTTCGAGCTGCCCCCAGAGTCGCGCATAATACTGGCAGACTTGACCCAGACATACATACCTATTAACCATCTCTTTGCATGCCCCTTAAAACCATCACCTCATCTAACTGTTCGAACCCGGGGAAATAGCCGTTAGATGACCTCGATGTCTTAGACTAATCTAGTCTGCTCCTAAGCGGGGTTGGCTAACCACTACAACAACAACAGCAATAAAAGGAAAACAATTATTTTTTTTTGCACATACATGTGTAGGTATGTCAAACACCAGTGTAATTGTCAGACGATCACTTAAATTAACTAACAAAATTGAATTATTTAACCAATTTTAACAATTGTCTGAGCAATAAGATCAAGATCGTTACGATGAATGCATTAAAAGTTGATAGATATGTAATTTTCGTGTGACTGAGTTCTTCTACATACATTTATGTTTAGTATGTACATACATACATACATACATACATACATAATTGCAATTTGAATTATTTGCCAAATTCACTAATTTTTAATTTTATTTAATTTTTTTACACACATATTTATATTTATAATATTTTTTCCCCATATTCACCCACCGTTTTCTTTCTTTTTTCTTTTTTTTTTACCTTCAACAACTTACAGAAGAACAACTCACGCGCTTGAAGAGCGCGGCACGTAAACTAAATTGCTGATCAGCATTGGTCGGACTTTTATACAAACTTAACGCCACAAAAACGCCGCCGATTGTGAATTATTCAATCGCTGTGACATGATCGTCGTGGATACGTATCAGCACTAAAGTGGTTAGAAAAATGAGTGTAAAAATCAAGAAATTGAGATATTGAGCATGTCGTCCCCAGCGTGAGTTCTCGCCGTCTGCGGTGCTAAATATGCGTGAGATGTCGAAGAAGAACGAGACTCCGATCGAGATGGGCATGATGGTTGGTATTGAGATTTGAACTGTTAAAGGAAAGTTGCATGAGAATAAGGTGGGAAGCAAAGTGCAAATGATAACAAACCAATCTGTGTTTAGTGCTCCAGCAGTATTCTAGCTTAGCCTCTAGCGCCGAGCTGCGCTCTCTGTTTTTATTTACTAAAGTTTTTTTTCTGTTTATTTAACACAGAAAACAAAATAATTTTGACATCGTGTGTGAACGCCAGTCGTTGAAATATATACGTTTGTTAGTTTACTCGATTTTACTGAGAAGTCACAAATTCAGCGAAGAGATAAATCAATGGCGGGTGTAATTTGTATAAGTACTTAAAAACGTATAAATTAATGATTCTAAATAAAAATATATACATATAAATTAAGGTGGTCACAAATCTACGTCAAAAAGAAAATTAAAGACATTTGTTTATTTATGCTTGTTGCTCATTTTTAGAAGAACGGAAATTATCGTCATTTCATTCAAAAAAAAATTGAATTAATTCATAGATTTTAGTTAAAAAAAAAGCGCTTATTATCTAAAATATGTATTTTCATATAGAATATTTGCTTTACATTCTCTATTAATCGATTAAGCCGTGCGTTATAGAGCTCTTCTACTGAACTGACTCATGACTCGAGCCTGTTAAATTTCGAAAATAAAAATGTTTACAAAACAAATATTATTATTTATATGCATTTCTAAATCTATAGTTAATTAAGTAAATAAAGACAGTTTTATTGAGTAAAAAACTATGAAAACTCAGAATTGTTTTATTTAGGCATTCCTTTTAAAACAATGGCTAATTTACAAGTGCAAAATTTTCCAAATGTGAGTATATGTTTACATAACGGTATTAAATGATATTCAAAAGAGTTATTTAGTTCCTTCAAACTTTCACTGTCATAAGCAAATATCTAAATTTCCACAGTACGCTTTATCACTGAGTTTCTCTAACTGTTAGGTGCTGAAAGTTGGACAGCAATCGCCTGCAACTTCTGTAAGTATAAAAAATAACATACACACATTCAATGAGATACTAAAATTTTAAATAACCTCTTCATTAACCCATTCATTTAAATTTATTTTTAGATTTTCACAAAAATTATTTTTGCTCTGACGCTCACTTACTATCTGTATCACCCCACCCGATTGGTACTTTTAAGCGTTGATTTTCTGCTTGCAGCCATTTAGTCAGGGGTTCAAAGTACTCCATCAATGCAGAGGGATCCATTTCGGTTTCACCGGTAAATTCATTTAAAGCTTTTTTCCAATGCACCGAAGCACCAAGTGAAAGGAATTTGCTTTATAAGTATAATAATAAAAAATTATTAAAAAAAAAATTTGTTTTAAAAATCACATAAATATAGAAATCATTTTACCTAAACGCTTCACCAGCCTCTTTGCTGTTATAAATATCACAATTGTCTAAAGATTTTTCAGGGTCACCTTTCACATATTGACCCGCCTTGGTGCACAGTGCTCTAAGAAATTGAAATTGAAATATATGTGCAGCAAAGTAACGTAGATATTCCACATCGGCGTCAATATGATATTTTGCTGGTGGATCGAAATCAGCATCTGTGCGTTGAATAGGCGGTTCCACGCCAGAGAATTCCGAACGCATTTGCCAGAAGGCACAATTCCATTTGGATTCTTCAACTTCCCCCCGGAAGATGGCATAACGATACTTGTCCATGGTGTAGGCAAATGGAAGAAAGACAATTTTCTTTAGGGCCTTAAATTATGAATGGAAAGAGGTTTAATTTGACATGTAGTAAAAATATTTAAAATCTAACCAACTCACATTCTTAAACAACTCATTTATGCGACTCTCATCATCCAGTTTGCCAACATCGGATAGGCCAATGGATTTTAAATGCTTAGGCGTGGCAACGGAAAGTGCAATAACATCACCCACAGCTTCATGGAAACCAGGATTTGGTGCCGCACGAAAAACTGTCGGTTGCTTTTCATACTGCAGGTAGTATTGTATATGCCCCAGCTCGTGATGTACCACATACAGATAATGTGTATTGACATCAGTGCACATTTTAATACGTACATCACTATCCTGATATAAATCCCAAGCAGAAGCATGACATATGATCTCTCGATCCGCCGGTCGTGTTAACACACTGAGATCCCAAAAACTTTTCGGTAGCGCACGCATGCCCAACGATTTGAAAAACTCATCGCCCAGCTCGAAAAGTTTGCGCACTGTGAAATTTTGACGAAGCATCTCGCTAGTCACATCGATGAAAGGCTTCTCCGGATAAGGGGTAAAAAGAGGCAACGCATTGTCCCATTGTTGTGCCCACATATTACCCAATAAGTGCATCGGTATATTGCCATTTTCCGGCACTATTTCATCACCATAATACGAACGAAGGCGATAACGAACATATCCATGTATTTCACGGTAAAGCGGCAAAATGGCTTTATATACTTTATCTAGATTAGCTTCGAATTCCGAGTCTTCGTAAAAATGTATCCAATAGTCGGCGTATGAGGAATAACCTAAATGCATATAAAGTTACGGTTATTTTAAAATTCATAATTTTTCAGTCAACTATTAACGGGTGAATTGTATAAATTTTGTATACTTTAATTGTAGTGCCATTAAACAGTACGTTGCCTCTGCCCTTTTATTCTTATCAACATCGTCTGAACCAAAAACAATTTATGTCTGAGACTCGATGTACACAAGTCAAAACATGCGATCGTCATTGTATCAAGCAAATACATATACATATATGTGCATGTATTTACATATAAACCAGTAACAACAAACTTTTCTTATCACCCAATTGAAATGCCGGGAACTCACCATTTAGACGTGCTGATTTGCGGGTCATCTCAATATATTTTTTGAAATTTTCTCGCATCGGTGTGCCCGCTTTGTCGTACCATTGACGCCAATAGTGTTTCAACTCCTTTGGATCGCGACTATCCGACAAACGTTCTTGTATGTGCGGCTCTAATTGCAGTGTACATTTACCTTCCTTGTTGTATGGACAAACAGTGGCAGTGGCATAATTGGATTGCATCAAACTCACAGCGTTTAGCAATTCTTTATAATCACTCTCGGGTAATACATCAATACCCAAATCACCAAGTATAGTAGCTTGTCGTTTGATATCCTCATCGCTTGAGTCAACATACCCTGATGCGATTACATTTCGGGTCATCTCCTTATTAGCCGCTGCATTTGAAGTGGCAACAGCTATCATTGCCTTGCGATTATCTTCCGTCACATTTGTGTTGTATTCATATGAGGTTAGGAACTCGTTGCGACGACGTTGACGCAACAATTCATTTTCATGTTCGAAAAATGTACGCGCATCCGATTTCAACGAATTGCTACTGCAAGAACCTACTGTGTCAGCAGAATATGCACGCACAGGCTTAGGAAAAAAGAAGATAAATAATATTTGAAAGCCCGTAAAGTCGGATAAGCTCCTTACCACCCTTGAGGAAAGTAGCGCCAGAAGCAGCAATAGTTTTGGCAGTAAAATTATGCCTCTCGTTTTCATATTATTTAATTGTCGTGCACCCGCTTGAAACTAGCGCACTGCGTCACTGGCTGATCACTACTGAGCCGAGTTTTGCAAATTATAATTCAATAAAGAGACAGTATGCATTAACTGCGAGCGTTATCGGCAGGGTCAAGACGTGCTGTGTATGGTAATTACTCAGTAAATTTCTCAACAAAATATAAAGAAATATATGAGTAAAAAATAAAAATTCTCGTTGTAGAATTATACACTATTTGCAATGTTATTGTCACGGCAGGTTGTAATAGTTTTGATAAATAAATTTTACTATAAAAATTCATGCGCACAGATAACCGAGTATTGTTAAGCACTGATTGCAGTTACAAACAGTTAATTTAATTTTCGTTCATTTATTAAATTTTTTACTTCAGATTTTATAATGTTTATTTTTAAATCAATAAGCTAGAATTATTGTTTATTTGTTGCAGATCCTTTGAGTGTTGCCTGGCTAAATTTCTAAGGTGAGTTAATGTAGAGCTGCCAGCTTTCAAAAATTTTATATTGTACGTCTATATAGCTTTTAAATCAAGGATGTCTGGAAAGTTTTCCAAGATAAAATAAACCACAAATTGGCTCATGCACATGTCGGCTGGCTAGTCCTCACTCAAGTTTGCTCTTCTTCACATATTTTTAGCCTTGCGGTCTCATTTTATTTACAAGATTCTGAGTTAGTTTGTAAATTTGTACATTCGATCACAGTATTTAAATATCATAGAAAATTTATTTTCTAATTGTGATCGCCCCTCGGCAAGAAATGTCAAGTCCTCTTAATGTTTTTCTGACATGAAAATCTAAGCACCTCCTAAAAATCCATCGGCCGTTGCCAGGCGGCTTAGGATAAATCAAAGAAACTTTTCCCTTTTAAGATCTCTGATTTCCTTACTTGTGCGGCAAGTAGCGCAGACTTGTTGAAAGTAAACGATGTTTAGAATAATATTATCCGATTCCTGCCACAAAAAATCATTAATATTATAATCATCGATAGCGCAATCCGTACATTTTCGAAAGAATAAGGTTCAATGATATCAATGAGATAGGCATACACCAGCAGGACGTAGACTCGGCAAAAAATTGTACCTTGTCTATTTAGCTCTGCAGCTTTTATTATTTTCTCCATCACCAAAATAAAGAAATAATATGATAAAGAGTAACCCTGTCTCAAACCTCGTTTAGTATCGAACGGCTCCGAAAGGTACTTCCCAATTCTGACTACAGTTTAAGCTTGAAGAGATACCGAATTCAGGCATAGAGGCTTACAGCAGCTCCTTTTCCTGCTGTGTGATGTGATGTATATCGACTCTCTTCTTTCCAAGATTTAGTGCATGGTGAATAAGGTGAGTGGTAGATTTGCCAGGTTCATAGCCACACTGATAAGGTCTAATGGGTTTGTTGATGGTGGACTTCAGTCTTTCACAGAATACGTTTTATAGGACCTTATATGCGATAATTAGTGGGCCCCCTTTTATATGACTAGGATGGAGCACACTTAAATTTCAATCGTCGTTCAGGTTTCTATTCAACCATATTCTGCAAAAATGCTTGTGCATGAACCATTTCAGCCCTTTCAAGCTCTTCACGCATCTCGGCGTTTTTCCTTTTTTTGCACGCAAATGCAGTATCGTACGTTTGTGTTCTGGTCGTTCGCAGGGTTGTGTGTTAGGCATTTTAGTCAATGATAGGTCCTCGGAACGTACGGAATCTTGCACACTGGTGAGATGTTGTTCGTCTATCATAACACGATCGAAATGGTTGTGAGTTTTTCGATCTGGAGAAAGCCAAACACATAGCTTGGTTAGGTTTTGTTCACCGAAGTTACCTTCTTGACTAAATCAGCGATGAGTTCGAAAATTTCGTTTAGTTGTGGGGTGTAGCGAGGGGTTCATTCCCCGAAACGATTTCCGCTGTGGCATATTTCATAAGGGTTCACTCTTTTCCGTCCATTCATCGCTGGTAAGCTGTAAAGCGGTGCAAAAGATTGTTTCTGTCCGCTCCCAGGTGAATGACAGTCAAAGCTTTTCTAATACATGAACTATAGACCATGAGAGATTTAACCTTGCCTGCAATGCGAACTTTTTCCTCTGCTAATATATTTCTTTCCAAGTGTTGAAAATTTGTGAGTAAGAATTGATTTTGGTTTAAGTTTTTCAATTAATTTGTAACGTATATACCTCTTAGAATCGCGTAAGGGATGCCAACGGCAATAAGGAAGATAATAATTTACTTCCTATTTATTGCTTGGCTTTCAGGTTTCTACCTTCTGGCTTCTGTATTCTTCTCTTTGTGGACTTTCTCATGGTTTTCTTTCATGTTAAAATTTTGCTTAAAAAAAATTTAATAATTTAGGTATTTTGAAATTCGTTGTCGCCCTGTGTTTTAGTACAGCTACTAACCGCTAGACGGAAAAAGTCTTGTTCGTTTGTCCGATGACAATTTCGTTTTTGACATTCCGTTTTGCTTTGATATTTTTTGTTTATTTTTTTCGGGAGAACGCTCGCTGCGTTTTACCACACACAACACCACCGTTTCAACCACCACAGAATCGTATCCAAAGCCCCAACATCAATAGCAAATATTTAAACATACACACGGCAATAAAACGAGCAGCACAAAAGTAAACTATAAGCGGCGGTAAAGGCAAGTTTCATTCGATTTGCTCTTGTCAGTGTATTAATCGACGTGTTTGAGTTCGTTTCATTTGTGTCGGGCATGTTGTAAAAATTTGTCGTGTTTCGGTATTTTGTTTTGTGTTTATTTGACGGCGGTTACAAAAAATATAGATACAAAAAGAAACCTCGTGAAATATTCTCATCGCACTGCAAAATATTTGTGTAATAATTTCATTTAATTTTATTTCGTTTTGTTGCTGTATTTCGTGTGATTCTGCCTAATTGTGTGAGTGTGTGTGCGTGTGCTCAGGTAGCAAGTGTAATGGCAGCGCTCTGAATTTTGCGTGCGTTGCGCCACAGTGTTGCTTCACTGATTTCATATAAGTATTTTTTTTTTGACTTGTCGGTAGCAGCGCAATGGCTTTTCCGATTCGATGAGCCTACTTACAGCAATATTTGCAAAAGTGCAGCCATAAAGTTGTGCATGTGATGTCACAAGATATTTATGGGAGAAAATTTGTATTTATAAAATTTAGAAAATGCACAAAACACAAAAATAACGAATTATACTATAATATAAAATTTTAAAATTAAAAGTTAATTAACTGATGGCAACTAAGTTTTAGTTTTCAGCCGCACTTTAATTGCAGGCAAACCAGTGTGAATTACCGTATTAAACCATTTAAAAATGATGGGAGAAATCTCTTTTTGTAATATTTAAAAAAAAAAAATTTGAAATTTTTTTTGTATTAACTAATTTAGTTTTTGTATGTAGTTCATTTAGAATTATCTGTTCTTGCGCCGCCTCAAAATATATCAATTTTTAGTTGGTAATCCCTTACATCTTCTCCTCCTCAAATTTACACTTCATGCAATAAGCATTTAACAAAAAAAAATTATAATAAAAATTTAATAAACAAGCTAAAACTCCAAAAAAAGAAGCAAATAAACTATTCAATATTTATTTTTAACCCAAACAACTACCAATGCGCTCTAAGAAGATACACATCTGCATATGTAAGGTACATTCCAACACTTGAAAACGTTAAATACAAATAAAAACAGTAGAATAGAAGCATAACAATAATAAAAAATGCGAAGCATCGACATAAAAGAGAAATGAAGTGCTGCTGAACATATAAAAAAACGGCAATTATACTACCAACAACAACAATAACATAAACAAAAAACAAAGCGACTTGTGAAAGACCAGCGTAGATACAAATAAATATCTAAACACATGCACAAGTATACAAAGCAAGCATACTGCTGAAGCAAGAGGGAAAACGCCTAATGAATTGCTCCAAATCGTCTGAAGACGGCTGAATGTATGAGCGCGGGTGTTATGAACATGCACATATATTATATTTTTGCATTGATGGAGTCGATGTGTGACTTCTGTTCTAATTTTCTCAATTTAATCGTTTTAAAGCAACTTTCGTAGCGTTTAATTGAGGCATATATCAGTTTATTCAATTTACTGATGAATCAGTTGGGCTGCAAGAGGCACAAGTTTTTCTTTATATACGTAAAAAAATTGTAATTGCAACTTTTTTGAAATTATTCGAAATACCTCAATATGCATTTGAAATGATTTTGTTATTAAGACTACATCAACAAATGTTCACGCTCATAAAGTGTATTTTGAAGGCCTTTGATTGAGGGTCAAGACATACAAAAAAAATGTGTAGAAAAAATCTGTAACGATTAAAACTAGTTGCCATTAAATTTTAGAGTTGTAGAAAAAGTATTTAAATTTGTTATTACTCATAAATTTTTCAACTACTCCAAAGTCAATAGTGGTAATTCCAACGCAATTTATCATGGTTAATCTCAACTTTTTAAACCATTCACCGTGTCTTCAGCACTTTTGAAGAATCAAATAATCTTCTAAAGAGTGTTCAGTAAGGGCTTTCGTAGAATTATTATTATTATTTTTAAAATACTGAGTATGAATGAGAGGTTTAAAGTATTTAAAAGAAATATCGTTTTTGTTATAAATATTTATGTAATGTCAACTTTTTAATTTATGTTTCTTTATCTTTTGCCTTGCAGACAAATGTGCTCAAAGCTTCAATTATTTGAGAAACAATAAGCTTAAAAATTGTTTCTTCATTCTCTAACCGAAATTTTTAAAAAGTTTGATTAATTAATTGAAAAAAGTAAAATAAAATATATATATATGCTTAAATGTATTTGTATATGCATATAAAAGTGTTAAATTAATTTATGCCAATAAAGATAGAGGTGAAATAATAAAATTTTGTGCATCGAATATTAAAAATTTGAATTGATTTAAAAGTTAGTATATTAATATAAAACGTCAAAGTGCTAAAATCGAGCTTTTAAATTTTCGCAAACACACAAATAAAGCAAAAGTAAGCTCTGATGTTTGAAAAAAATATTTTCGGAAAGGAATTTTTTACGAAAAAATGAGATAAAATCATAAAGGTGTTAGTGCTATAAAACCTGCAAAGTCATTTTACAACCGAAACTAAAATATCCAGGTGTTAAAATAGAAAAATAAACACCCAAATCAAAGTGTTTCTGCCCCGTAATTATTCATTAAAAAAGTTATTTGCATTAAATATTGTGCTATTTTTAATTTGTGTATGTGTGCGCGTGTTTAAACGATATTTACAACAACAATGAATAATTATCAACACCAAACACCGCCACCTGTAACGCGGCATCATCATCACCATTTGCCGCCGCCACCGCCGTTGCCACATCATCATCCATCGCTGTTGCCGCAACCGCAGCCACCATTACCAATGTTGCCAACACAACAGCATCAGCAACAACTGTTACAACAACAACAGCAGCAGCATCAGCAGCAACAGCAACATGGACAACCTCAACCATTGATCAGCAATTCGTTGGCCATACGTCAGGAAATCCAACGTTTCGAGAGCGTACATCCATCGATTTATGCAATTTACGATTTAATCGATTTGCTGCCAATTGCCGATGCACAGATCGCACAGCAGATACGCGATCACGTTGTTTGTATTGAAGGTGAGTTTACAATTGATATAACTACATACATACATACTTAAATATATATGTATATAA